TTCTTTTTTTTTTTTTTTTTACTTATTTTAACGTACGTTCATCTCGTGAAATATAGGCATGCATTTATGAAGCATCCTGCGCACGGAGGAAACAATCGTCGATTGCTCGCCGTAGATTTCGGCTTCCTCTAACAGGCATGGCCCCGAAGCACAGCCAGCAAATTTCCGATTACCCTAGCCGGGCTAACATTTACATACGCCATACATTTGCCTCTCTATGTAGCGATCTGTAGCAAATCGCGGGGGCTCGCGTTGACCTCCATCGAGGAGAATCCTCTAGGAATCAAGACTATAGGCATCCATTCAGTCTGCGCACCATTGGAACTGTCTGTGGCCAACAAAAATACCAAAACGTTTTATCGCTACGATAAATGGCAAAGCTGTATCGAGCTCGCAAATTGCCAGGTTCTCGCCAGACCTTGCGATTTTCATTCTTTTTCTCCGTTGTTTCCGTCTTACGGAAACGCTTTCCCCTTTCATTGATATTGTGAAAACGTTATTCCTCCTCTCGTAGTTTAAGAAAACATGCGCCAATTCGTCGATCGCGATGCACCGTCGTTGCACGATAAAACGTCTCGCAAAATTCGGGAGGCTGCAGGATGTTTCCTTCGTGGGAAAACTCCGCGCTACTTTGCTGTTGGGATTTCATTGATAATTAATGTGTTCACGCACGTACAACACCTTTGACGAATAAGCACAGAAGCTGTACCTTCATAGCACCGCTTGCTGTCCTATGAATCTGGAAGAATACAGGAACCCGCGGCAGTCTGGAAATCTGTTAATCTGATCCCTTACGATCTGAAAATACCCTCCAGGCTTAGTACGCGCCAGACTTCTGCTATTTTCATCCTCGTTTCGCTATCACGCTTCCAGTGAATGTACGATCACACTTTCTCCCTCTATACCATATTTTTAGAAATTCCGTCTCGCCTGACTTTCTGTCCAGTCATCGCTTACCCTACACATTGGTCTTTAAACGTATCATTTACCTTACAGCTCTTCGTAGCTTGAGCTATAGGAGCTCTTAAAGTCTCCAATCCATTACAGACATCCGTCTGAACAATACAAAAAAGAAAGTTGCCGTCAGTCCGAAAATTGCAGTCGATCGATTCATTTATTTCTTCAGAACGGTCAGTTACAGTTTTACAATTAATTTCGCATACAGTTTCATAATTAATTTCATACACAGTTTCTATTCCACGTAACTCGGTTCTCTTTTCTCGTCCAAACACTATTTTAATCAGAGACTATTTCAACGAACATATTTCGTATTCTTTATATAAATAGTAAATAAATAAATCTAATACCTACGAATTTCCGACTCACGATTTCAGAATGTTATCACGAGGGAACATCGAAGTTTGCTGAGGCAGTTAAAAGTTGGGCGGCGACGGTAGAGCCGGAATAGTTCGGTTACAGCCGAAAATGGCAATAAAATCTCGCGCGGCACTCGCGCCTAGGATGATTTATCCCTAACGAATTCGAAGATTCGGCTTTCTTGCTTGTGACGGTTCGACCGTTAAGATAACTGGCTTAATTGCCTCGTTCGCTGTGGTTCGCTCCCGGAGAGGCGAAATTGAAGACGACGAAGTTAGACGCTAACGAGCTTTGCGATCGGTTTCCTGCGTTTCCTGGCGAATTTTAGTTCTATATTCTAGAGTTGGGTCTCGTCATTGGATATATCTATCCTCCACTTTGATCTTGCATGTGTGTGGTTTCTTTTCTTTTCTTTTCTTTTTCTTTTGGCAAGACTATATGTTTCTTTTTAACTTGAGAAACTACTGCACGATTAATTCGTTAAACAAATTTGTACGCCGAGACGCGACAATTGGCGAAATTATAAAAATTCTATGCATCGAAAGCGAAGCTTGGAACGTTGGAGAAATGGAAAAGCGAGTGGAACGATAGAGTGAAACGCGAGACAGATAATCGCGTGAAACGAGAAAGCGAAGCGAGGCAAATCGCGAGGACAAAAGACCGGGCCTTAGATTGAGTGCGAACTCGCTAAACAGACTGCGGCAAGTTGCCGCGTACACCTTCCTTCTATCTCGCCTTCCTGGTCTTCTCGCGTCAGGCGCATTTGCATTTGAAATCGAGATGAACCTTTGGATAAAAGGAACGCCCCGTTCCACCGTTATCTTCAAACACTCGTTTACTTGTATCGTGTGAAAGAAGGGGCCAGGAACGCTCGGTGTGGCCAGAGAACGAGAAAACACGAAGACAAAGAGGGATGAACGGCGTAGCTCGGAGACAGAGGAGACTGCGGAAATTTCGCAACTTTTCCCTGGCGCGACTATCCGCGCTGTAACTCGTACAGGTTTTCGCGAGCTCAACCTGCGCAGACTCTTCGAAGAAAGCAAGCAGACTGCACCCTATTGTTTAGCGCGGGAATGGATGCGAGCTTGGTGGAATACAAAATAGAGACGTGACCTACCTCGATCGTCGGAAGCGTCGATAGAGCCAGAGGTGATGAAATGGTGGAAGGAACGCTGCCAGATAAGAAGAAAAAAAAAGAAAAAAATAAAGAAAGAGATCGGGGGAAGAACGCGTCGTGATGACGACACTCCGACGCATAACGTAAGATTCAGCAGTGAATATCGTTGTTCGTGATCGGACGGTGGAAGATATTGAGAAGCGATTTCGTTTTATGCTTAGATATCTTTTCTCAATTTTAAAACGTTACGGTGTGTTGGAATTTCATCGATGGTGTGCACATGTACACGTATAATACTCGCATTTTTATTGTATCTTGCTTGCTGAATCTGGAAAAACGCAGGAGCTGCGTCGTTCCGAAAATCGCGGTCAACCAACTCACAGCCACGCTCCGGAATAATTTTAACCCCGCTGTTCCTCTTGTTGCTTCTTCGCGTTTACATCTTTCCACGTTTGCATTTTTTTTCACGCGTATGTTTTTTCAGATATCTTTGTTCTTGGTTATTTTTACTCGTAAAAAGTATGGTGCACGCGAAAGACGATGAAATTATATCGGACGTTGGGATCAAATATTTAAAAACTGTCTATATTCGAGCAATATTTGTTAAGATGTGGCATCAATTTCGGGTCATACGGATCGGAGGAGAACAGCTGGATTAAATACAGTTTCGCAAATGATTTCACGCACACGGTTTCGCTCCATACCCAGTTTCCTTTCATCGTGCAAACACTATTTACGGAGAATTCCATTCCACTCACATTTTCTGTTCGTTATATCGTATAAATACAATAAAGAAATGCAACGCGGTGTGTCGACGTTGAGTTTGTACGAGTCATTTTTCTCGTTAAAAACCGACATTACCCGAGCGACAATCGACGACAGTACAATTGCATATCGACAAGCGTTTCCGTGGTGCGAAAAATCATTGGATTTCAACGGAGAATCGCGGCAAACCGGAAGTTGCTTGATAGAAGCTCCAGCAACGAAACCAATAAACGGTGGAAAATAGAAAAACGCGGGAGTTCGCAAAGTACCGTGTTCGATCTTAAAACTGAATGGAACGCTGATGAAAATCGTCAGGGGTGGTGGTTGCTGAGAGTAAACCGATTCCACAGGGGAAGGTAAAAGAGCCGAGGATATAAGAAGATGAAGAAAAGGGTAGAAAGATTTGGCAACAGAGGCGCGGATAAATAAAAGCGAGAGAAAGAAACGGCATGGAGGACTGTGCCAGAGTGTACAACTACGTGTCGGGAAAGAAAATGAAGAGAGTCGAGTCTGCGCGGCTTCGTATCTGTTGTTCAAGCTACCGTAGAATCTAATGACGCGAAATTCCGGTTGCATTCGCACCGGTTTGAAGTTTTATCATTCGACTTGGCTGGAAATTTTTGAGCGATCGTTTCTCTGGCGCGCTCTGCGTGCAAACCTTCTTCCGCTCTCTTTGCTCTACCTTCTTTGCTCGTTGATGTTCTTTGACTGTTCGCTAGCCGTGATTGCTTCGTTGCGCTTGCTCTTTGCCGAGAAAGAGGAACGAAACGTCGCTGTTGGCGTAGCAGATCGAAAGGGAATGGCACGACTGACCAACTGTGGCTCAACGTTCAAATATTATAATGCTCATCGAGTGGTTTGTCGATCGAGAAACTCGCTTCAAAGCGCTGGCAAGTGTGGCGATAAATTCTGTTGATTTTAACGGCACTACCGGCAGGTAGCGATGCGAAATATCGCAAGGGAAAATAAAATTCCCCGACTATTCTGAGAGCTTTTATATGAAACGAGTTTTTTTCTCCTTGTCTGTAATAGCTTCGCTGTATTGTTGTTGACTCTAGTTCATAGAACGACGATATAAATTTCGGGCAATCGTGCGCGAAACTACAGACAGGAATCAGAATGCAGTTACAATAACGTTGTAAATTGAAAAAGAGGTCTGTGCACGAAATCGTTCGTGCTCAACATACATCCTAGAGCTGCAATCAACCGCACGGTCGTGTAACAGCGCTTTGCATGCAAGAAATTGGATCGCTGCAAAAGGTAATCTGATTCCGACCCTAAAAGAATGTCGTTAAAATCCTTTATTTCGCGCTGTCGTGCTACTAATCGCTTTATATCTAGACTCGCATCAACATGCGACTGGCAACAATTTCCTTCCTTGAAACGCGTTGATATCTTACCACTGTTTCTTCCATGCTGCCTAGTAAAACCCTTATTTTCGACACAATGCAAATGAGCAATTAACGTAATTAGTTACATGTTGCAGATGGATATACGACAAAATAGTTGTTAGCCTCTAAAAAGATATTGAAACATTATTCGAGAGATTTGTGATTTGAAAAGTCGGATAGACCATTGGAAAGAACAGTCGATCGAAAACAGTTTCTTCTGAGAGATTTTGTAACGGCAAGCATGAACATTTGTAATAATTTACTACATAAGTCGTAAGCTCTGTACTAGACTTAACTAGTAACTGTTATGGGCTGCCTTTCGATCGATTAATCTGTCGTCCGCAATTAACGAGAAACTTTTTTAATTAAATGAACCTTCACTTATAATTAATTTCCAACGTCTTACGATGAATACACGTTTTTCTCCTGTTGGTCTTCTTATTAGTTTCCGACGATTTATTTTCACGGTTCTTGATTACTTCTTAATCATTTCGCTGTGCAATTAATAATCAACTTTATAAACAGATTTTATCGTTCACCGTGAAAAGCAAGAATTTAATAATGAACAGTATGCACTTAATGCAACATTTTAATAACGTATATTTAATCTTCAGCCGATGCAACAAACATTAAACAGTTTCCAATAATTTATAGATTTATATTTCGAAATGTCTGATCAATTTCATTCATTCACCTATGCCTAGCAATGTGTGATTAAATGTAGTAAGAATCGATGCGTATCGCGTAAGTAGAACGCTGCGTCAGTGATATAAGTCAACGTCTGATCGGTCATGTCGTATACCGCATTTATCAGGCATTGCGTTTCACGTTGGTCGAACGAAAAATTCTTGGAATGGAATGAAAAGACACTCTGTATAGTTTGCAAACAATTTTTATATTCCAATATAACGTATCAAAGCTATTATAGCGTCATACTCTTCTTCGCGAAGACTCGCAAAAGATATTCACCAGCGGTTTCTTCGACGTCCTCGTCTCGCAAGAATTTCTTTTCAGCGGGAAATTTTTTAACCGTGGAAATAAATGGAAGTCAGAGACAACTAAATCTAGCGAGGAAGGCGGATGTCGCAATAAATTGTACTTCGTTCATTTTGTACCTTGGAAGCTTGTACAAAGACGTTCGTTACCTCTCTAGAAGACAGACTTTTCTTCGTTTTGTTAAATCTACGTCGATCGTTTCTAATCGTCGTAGCAAATATAACCTCACGACACAGGTTAATTTTCTCTAGCTCCTTCTCGTAGTTTGCTCTTAACTGACCTTATTCTCGAGTACATACTGTCACCTACTCCTCAGAAGTACGCGCACAGTTCCTTACGAAACTAACCAGCTCTCTGGGCTGGCGCAACACTAAATAAATCAGAATTAAACACTGGAGCTAGGAAAATATTCAAATTTCACTCCAACGTGTCTATACACTTTAGACAAATACGTTCCAAAACCGTAACAAAACGTATTTCGATAAATGTTAGATCGATTAATAAATTTATTGGCGTTTCCTTGCAAGAACACAGGGGACGTGTTATTGCTTTCGTACAAAATGCGTCGGGAAGTACTTGATTTATCCCATCCGACTGTAAATGCATATACACCTGTGTGTTTAGGAAGATAATGTTCCGAGTTGCGTCAGCGGTTCGTGAACGTTACATTTCGGTCCTTCGAGACAGACACGAAACTCTGCCCCGTTCCATTAATCATCGTGAAACCTTAAAATCTAAAATAAATATAAGTCTTCCATAAAAGATTGCAATATATATATATCTTTAGATTCTTGAAATAATTTTTACATCTCTTGAAACTTTACGTTAGTAGAAAGCCAGCGAATTTATTACTCCGTTCACTATGTAATCATCAGCGTGCAAAATAATAGAAAGAAACGGCGATATCCACCCGCAATTACGTAACAATCAGCTAATGCACAATTCATTGGAATCTCTCTCACTTTTCTCGTTACCAATATTCCATACTCGCTAAGTCCGAGCACGTTCTTCCATCCGCCAATCCTATCGCGTTGTTTCTCCCGATGAATACGAGCAACGCATTAGTCCCGGAAGGCTGCATAATTACAAATGACGAAACTATTACGAGGTTCGCTGGAACTTTTGCGCGAACCAAGAGCCGAAAGCTCGACTATTCGCCGGTGTATGTAACGTGCACAGATACAACGCGCGTACAGGTACACGTACACGTACGCTGGACGAGCAGGACCTCACGCTGACAAATTGTTATCGCGACGTTTCCAGGATAACGAAATACATAATTCAGCCAGCGTTAGTGGCGCGGAACATTCAGACGCCTCTAGGCTATTGTCGAAACGCTCGGCGCGACACGCTGCAACGAACGAAGGATTTTGTATCGTGGATTTTGTCAACGTTGCGTTGGTCGGGGGCGAATACGTCCAAAGTTTAACTGACAGCCGTTCAAGATGCGTATAGGAGATGGAAGAGGCGACGACGAGCACCAAAGCGTCCCGTCGTCAACACCAACGACGAAACCGCTCTGACACGGAATTAATTAATCATTTATTTAAGGACGGCAAAGAAGCGGCCGGTCGATGAATAAACGAGTCACCAGATTTATTAAAATATTACCGGATCGAATCGACTCTGTTGGAAATTGTTAATTTCTGTTGGAAATAGAATTTCCGATTGACCGTTGGACTGCGTTCGAAGTATCGTAGATAGAGCGAAGTTTGCTTTCGAGAGATTTAATCGATCGTTTATTTATTCAGGCAGCGATGGAAATTGGTTGGAGCGGGAAATAATATTACGCGTAGATGTTGGTCTCCCTTTGCCATTTAATGTCTTTGACATCAGAAATAGGTTGTCGCCTAAATTTCGTGCTGGATACGGTGCATCTTACAACGACGTTCGTTGTTCCCTCGAAACCGCAATGTCAGACTCGCGCAGCGTCAAATAGAATTGTCGAAAGAATTTTTAAAGAGAGGAGGGGGCCGAAGAAATCCTCGCGTCGTACGTACAACGAGAGAAAAAAAGTGGAATTCCTGTCAAACGTCAAAGCGGAAATTATTTTTCGACGTCGTCCGCTAGGATGTTTCTTCTTCGCGTGACGTAAATGTGGCGGAAAAGCTGGCACGAAAAGACGCGGAATAAAGTGAAACGGTAGCGGGATACCTCATTCTCGGAATTTTCGGAAGCATTTCCGAGAACACACGTTCGAGCTTACTCGCTTCATTCCTTCGTTCTGCTCTGTCAAATTATTCAATTCATTTCCGCGCGGCTTCCAACTAACTCGAACTCCTCCGATTGTCTCTCACCCGCCTCCCTTCTTTCTCCTCGTGACTTTCAGCCCACACTAGTGACGTCCAACTTAAATTCAGATTTGCCCTTTCATCACGGATTTCACGTTATCGCTGTTATCGGAACAATGCCGAAGAGGTTGCTTCGTGTTCCACATGGAAAATAGACCGCACATAACTAATGCATTTCGGGTTCGTTGTCCTCGCGCTGCTTCGTTTCATCGATATGTGATTTCTTTCCTTTAATACTTTAATATCCGCGATTTAATAAACGTTTCGTTATTGGAGGGATAATAAACGCGATTTTTTTTATTTTTCTTTTTTTTTAACATTTTAGCACACTATCTATTTTCTCTTAGCGTTCCGCGAACCCTTAGTTTATTTCGCAATAATATTCATGCAACGTGTAAGCGTTAGTCGAATATTTTTCTCAAGTATCTCGCTAATCGAAAATTCAGCGCTGATGATCTTTTACTGTATTATTCACAGAATTTTCAATGGATAATTTGCAAGGGATTTTCGTCCGCTTTTGTACAGTGTCTGAAACGAACAGTGCATCGCGGTGATATACCGAGGTAATAGAGTTTCACCGTGTGTGTATATTTGAAGCATGTGAACGCGAATTGAGTTTGATCGGTGATAGTAATCAATTACTCGTGAAAGTAATTAATCACGATATAATCTTTTGACAATGAAACGCACAGTCTCTTGTTTACGTACGGAAACCTCGACATTTTGTTTGAAATTCGTATTATGCGCTAAAAATACCCCTTTTATTTAATATATTCCGAGATAGTAAGGATTCATAGTGCACCGGGCGTATAACAATGAAGCAAATATTACCAGGGAGAGAATTTCTGATTGACGGTGCAGATGATATACGAGTTTCCTAACAAGATATCCTGTTGTTTCACGATGAATCGCGCAGATATTTGAATCGAAACGAGATTCCCTGGAATTTCGGTCGATGGTTGCATTCAAGGGGAACTGTAAATAGTTAGCGAGAACACGAGCGTTGTTTCCCGGAGAAAACTTAAAACGACTGCATCAGATCGAGTATAAACGAACTTTTTCCTATCGCCCATGTATACCGCGCTAATTATAGTTGACCAATAAATTCTAGTTAACCGGTCTTCCCAATTAAATTAATTATTTCTCGAGTTTTCGAACAATTGTCAAAAGGAACGAATATCTTACAGGAATATCGTGACGGAGTATGTCTGTCCTGGAATGAATAAACGAAACATACATATACATATTTCAGGTCATCGAACGTTGCAAATAAAAGGAGATCGAGGTATAGGAATTGTTTTACAGGAACGGTTAAGCAATAAAAAGAGCGAGGTAAATGGATAATTCCTCCAAGAGAGTGGTAGTTAACGGATGAAAAAAAAATTCCAATTCGAAAGATATGAAAGCGGTTTTTCGTTTGGCCCGTGTAAATAACTGCGTCTGATTTATGGAGCGCATCACAGCGTAATTTAGGATAGGCGAGCTCAGCTTCTCCGTTGGGCGTAAAATACATACCGCGGAGAGGCTGCTCCTCGAAGCATGTTCACTCATTACCGTGACTTAAGGAGAAGCGAAGCCCGGGTAAAGGCGAAATTGAGTGAAACGAGATTAAAACTCGGAACGAAATACTGTGTAAATTCATTGCTTCGGGTGTCTGGCTCGATGAAAGGAGCGACCGTTGCACGCGGAGCAAGGAATTTCTGATAGCGTTAAAATGCACGTAACGAGCGCTCTGCTAGCTTCCCGTGTACCCTTCGTTGCCTTCATACCGCTCTCCTCTTTCAGCTTTTCTCCGTTGCGCGCGCGGTTCCTTCGATTGCTCGTTTTCTTTAATCGACGGATCCCTTGCAGTGGCTCACGGCTCAACGACGAACGCCTATTTCATTCGCCGGCTGCATTTAGTTTTTTCTCCTCCCCGTCAAGCATCGACTGTTTCAGTGTAAATTACATACATCACGGATATCTTCCGCTCCATCCAGTGTCCAGAGAATCGAAATTAAAAAGGAGCAAAGATCCATACATTTACGCGAAGTATCGCGCGTTTCTTTCCACCAGGAAAGATACTCCACCGATATATCTTGATCTTTCGATACAAGTTTCGCTACTCTTTCGTCTTTAAAACGAAGCAACGATATCGTCGTTGTACGAAATGGCAACGACATTAGAAGTCGTCTATCGCTGTATGCGCGTGTCTTTTTCACATTTTTATTTCGATTACGTAAAACACGGAGGTTGCGCGAGTCTGACGTTGTTTGTGCGTAAATTAAAAATATTTGGCTCGTTGTGGCTCGCAGAGTGAACGTGGTAATTGAATCGAGCAAAGCACGGAACAAATGAAATATCCGTTTTATTTCTGTTGCGCGTGGCTGCCACGCTCTGAAAATTCCAGCAGCTTCGCTTTCTCTGCAATTATACGTATACGCGATACCTTTCTGGCAATGGAGAACACAACTTACTTGCAACGCGTGTCTCGTTATATATCATAACGGCCGTGCAAACCTACCAAAGTGAAATACGAAGTTTCGCGAAGTTCCAAATCCCGCATGGAACGCTAACTACGTGAAATGTTTTCACTTGAAGCTCGAAAAACGGCGACAAGAATGTACTTGTTTCGCTTCGAGTGTGGGTTTATCGTTTTACCGGCGAGAGAATGAAACCGAACGTTTAAAATTTACGGCGCTCTATAGTTTTTACATCGATGGGAAATTTATACTTTACGTCGAATTCGAAAATGATAGGATAAATAAATGAATAATATTTCCAATTTTTACGGGAGGGCAGTGGAGTGGTCGTGAAACTGGAAGGTGATCGATTTCGAAGCAATCACCTTTAATGTTCGTACTCGATTCACTCGGAGTAAACTGTAATGGATGTGCTCGTCGATGTCTTTTAGAACTTAACACACCACCATTGATCAATAAAGCCCAGCTGCCATTAATGTCTAACCGAAAGCATCGAAATTTTTACGCTCCGTTCCCACATTTATCGTTATTAAGTTTTTTAATCCCGCACATATCGATGTAAATAGAATTAATTTCCACGTTCGAATAAAATGCATTAAATACGAACGTAAATATAAATTGACTTCTTTCCATCAATCATTTACCAAAGTAGAACGAATAACATTTTTTTCTCTTTTAGAAACGTTCGAGTAAATTTTAATTACGCGCGAAAATCGTGTTGCGTGTTGTGTCCTTACAAGGACTTCTGTTCACGCGAAAGTAACTATATTTTGTAAATATAACACGGAAATGTAGAAGATATAAAATAAAAAAAGGAAAGAAAGAAAATAAATGTCGAAAAATTTAATACAGCGGTACTCTATTTTATATTTCTTACTATACTAACATCTTGACTAAATTTCGTCCAGCATCCTATCGATTCGAGCGCGATCGAAATAATTTCG